CATTTCTGGGGGAGAGTATTGCAAGAGTAAATGGTGTATTGACTGTTTATGATTTTTAATGTGTGTTTCTATTATTGGTTGGTATGCTTCATTCTTTGGGAAGAAAGCATTGTGTTTGAAGTTTCCATTTCAAATGGATTTGAAGTATATAATTTTTAAAATATCCTATATGTTGATACTTGATGGTGATCTTTGAAATTAAAAAAGGTGGAAGTGTGGAATATGAAATTCGGCCATCATGCCAGGAATAAAGAATCTTGTGAATGGCCTAATGAGCCAAGGAAATATTGTCGTTGTGAATGACTGGAAATACTAATGAGAATTCATACAATGTGAAAGATGTTGAGGTGAATACAATTGTATTTATGATATTTCTGTTTGCAAATCAAATCAAAACTATTTTGGGAGCATCATTAGCAATACCGAGGAAGGGTGGGTCATAAGGCCCACACCTAAAATTACACGTGCCGGTGTAGGAGTGGATTGTGATATTATTCTCCTTAATTGGGATGAAACTGGAACCTTTGCGGATTGGAAAAGTCAACCCGCACGACATATATGGGAAGGCGGCCTAGCTGATCGGGTGAAGATTAGATGCCATATTGCGCATATGGTGGTACTACTCTTGGTAACAACTTTCTTTCGCATCACATGTCAAACCACATTGTTCGTGGGGAGATGGCCTAGCCGATCGGGCGTGATCGGACTCCGTGCTAATAAAGACGGTGGTATATCGGTGCTAATGATCTCCCAACCAAAATTATATATGAAGTTCATATTTTGAAAATTATTATATTTTAACTGGACATTTGGATATTATTGATGGTGACTTGCTGTTTCTATGTGTTGCCTTTTCTGGGCATTCTATTTTGAAAGAGGATTTTTAGCTATATATACTAGTGCTATTCGAAAGTACTAACGTCCCTTTTGCCGGGGGCACTGCATCTTTAATAGATGCAGGTGGTTCTTCAGCAGGCGGCATTGATCAGTGATAGCAATACACTCTTTTCAGCTGATTTGGTGAGCCCCACTTCATTTTGGGGTCATGTATCTTTTGTTTCTCATGTACAGTGTTTTGAGGTATAGCCGGGGCCTTGTTACCGTCATTTCCATATTACTCTCCTATTGTATTTAGAGGCTCCGTAGACAGGTTGTGGGTTACGGTAGATGTTGGGAATTGAACTAGAAATGTTGGTACTTGGAAATACTATTTTTTTTCATTAATTCTATAAACTCGTAATGTTTTGAAAATTATGAATGAAGCTACTAATGGAAATGAAAAGGAAGTAGTTAATAAAATCTTTTCAGTGATTGATTAATGGAGTACATCTCCTCTTTATTCATGGATGAGTTTGGGTAGAAGTAAGTCTAATAGGCTTGCTCGACCGAGTTCTCTCGGTTGGGCACCGGTCACACTCCCTGAGTTTGGGGCGTGACATCAATCTCGTCTTGAGCAGCACATATCTTCTCCGCTTCTGTACTTTGGTTTTTTCTTCTTTTCTTTTATTCTAGATTAAGACGTCTTCTTTTGGTCGTCTCGAACCCAGTACTTTAAGGTATAACTAACTCAGGCCTTTTATTCTAGATTAAGACACCTTCTTTTGGTTGTGTCGAACCCAGTACTTTAAGGTATAACTTGCTCAGGAATCAAAACAAACGAACCAAATTTTCTGCCCCAGTTTTCACTAGGAAAGTTTCGTGAGTTATTGTAACAAAATTTTATACTACTTCATTATCGAAAGCGATAAAAAGATGAGAATGGTGTACCCGGAGTAAATGTAGACTAGGGAGTGGAGACCCTATGTCTAAGAGTAAAATCAACTAGGGATTGGAGACCCTATGTTGGGAAAAATCACCAGGTTATGGTGGTATCAACTAGGGAGTGGGACCATATATTGGCATTAACTAGGGAGTGGAGACCCTATGTTGAAAAGTCTTCAGGTTTTTCTCGCATTAACTAGGGAGTGGGACCCTACGTTGGAAAGTCATCAGGTTATGCTGGCATCAACTAGGGAGTGGGACCCTACGTTGGAAAGTCATCAGGTTATGCTGGCATCAATTAGGGAGTGGGACCCTATGTTGGAAAGTCATCAGGTTATGTAGGCATCAACTAGGGAGTGGACCCCTATGTTGGAAAGTCATCAGGTTATGCTGGCATCAACTAGGGAGTGGGACCCTATGTTGGAAAGTCATCAGGTTATGCTGGCATCAACTAGGGAGTGGGACCCTATGTTGGAAAGTCATTAGGTTATGCTGGCATCAATTAGGGAGTGGAAACCTATGTTGGAAAGTCATCAGGTTATGCTGGCATCAACTAGGGAGTGGGACCCTATGTTGGAAAGTCATCAGGTTATGTTAGCATCAACTAAGGAGTGGGACCCTATGTTGGAAAGTCATCAAGTTATGCTGGCATCAACTAGGGAGTGGAGACCCTATGTTGGAAAAGACGCAGCTTGGGATCAGAGACCGTAGTTTTGAATTATTTTTAACATCATTTCTTCTTTTCTTCCTTTATTTTTCAGAGAGTGAGTGAATGCGGGAATGAATTTTGGAGGAGACTTCCCTTTTGAAGTTGTTATTGCAAAGCTGTTTCCAACCCTTGCGCGGTTTTCCTTTTGGTTGCCCCTACTTTTTGCAAGGTTGCTTTCGGGTTGCACCTGTTTCCTGTTTTCTTCAACAGAGAACAATTTGTCAGTTTGAAATGGTGGTTGGTTTTGTGGCCTTGATTATTTTGGTCACTTGATCTCGGCCCGTTCTTTTGAAGAAGATCTCAACTGCTTGCTTACTTGCTGGGGATTGGTTTCATTTCTAACCCTGGAGATCTTGACTTTTCAAAAACTTTACCAGGACGGTTAATCACGCGGGACTTAACCTTCTTTAACTTTCTTTTGCCTTTGCGGCATTTTGACTTTGATCCCTTTCCTTTTAGGAATTCTTGACTTCAAAGCATCAGCCATCATGGCCAATCGAGGTCGACTCGATGCACCTGCCGAGGCTGGGCGCTTTTGCATACTAGCTTGTATCAAATGAGAACCTTGTAAATTAGTCTTGTCGTGCTTTCTTTGTCTTATTTTAGAATAGAATTAGACCGAAAGGGATTGAAAGAAAAACAAACGATGGAATGGACGAATGAATTTAAACAAGAGGTATCCCTTTTGGGGAAAGGAAAGAAGGCCTTATCTGGAGTGTATGCGGACTTCAATGAACATGACATGCATTTTGGACTGGATGCCCTATCTGTGCGAACCGTCCAACTCTCAAAAATCCATCATAGCTTATACCTCAAGATTTGAGAAACCTTGCCCAGGATTGTGTCCATGTCAGTGACCAATTATCCTCTTTTTTCGATCAGTGGTGCCCTTTGCGGGTTTTCACCAGCTAACATCTCCCATTTCTCTTCTCACCATCGTCTTGTAGTGCTCTTTGCGAGTTTTCACTAATGACACTCTCTCATTTTCAATTTCTCTCATTTGGTCGCATCAAATCCAAGTCATTGTATTCTCCAATTTTGGACATCTATACCGATTGATCGGAAGGACTTGAACAGGATTTGGGTAGAAATAATTTGAATTGAATTACAACCTTGGAACCTTTCAGGTGAAAGCATCGCCAAACCATTATAAATCCTACCCAAGTTTCATCTTCAGGGGAATTTGGATTTTTATTTTGGTGTGACTGAACCCCAGAGTGAGGCTGCCTACGTATCCTTTCGGAATCAAGTCGAACGTAGTTCAAGGAAACATTTTGTTTTTATTTCATTTTTGTTTTGATTGATTGATTTGATTGAATTTTGTTTTTTTGATAATTGAACTTTCAAGTTCCAAGGAGGGTGATCAAAGAAGAGTAACCGACTCAAAGGTTTTGCAAAAAGTTGATAGTGTTTGGGTAGCGAGAATGAAAGCCTTCGTCATCCCAATCAGAGAGTATTAAGACCTTGAAAGGAGTTAAACATAATACCTTTTGATCGCATCCGCATTGACAACTGTTTCGGGATCATTTGCTTCAATGTATCCCAAGTACAATGCCCCTTTCGGCAACAGTTTTCTTATAATGTACGGACCTTTCCAATTTGGAGCAAATTTTCCTTTTGCTTCCTCGTGATACGGGAGAATATGTCTCAGAGCGAGTTGCCCTACTTCGAATCTCCTGGGCCGCACTTTCTTGTTATAGGCGCGGGCCATTCTTTGTTGGTACAACTGCCCATGACAAACTGCGGCCATCTGCTTTTCATCAATCATAGTTAATTGTTCCAGCCGGGTTTTGACCCATTCATCATCATCGATCTCAGCTTCAACAATGATTCGAAGAGAGGGAATTTCATCTTCTGCAGGTATTACAACTTCAGTGCCATAAAACAATAAGTAAGGCGTGGCCCCAACCGATGTGCGCACGATTGTGCGATATCCCAATAATGCGAAAGGCAGCTTCTCATGCTATTGTCTAGAACTTTGAATCATTTGCCTGAGGATCTTCTTGATGTTTTTGTTTGCTGCTTCAACGACAGCTTTGGCTTTGGGTCAGTAAGGGGTAGAATTATGATGCGTAATTTTAAACTGTTCGCATACCTTCCTCATCAAATGACTGTTCATATTTGCAGCATTGTCGGTAATGATAGTTTTTGGAATGCCAAAATGACAGATAATGTTTGAATGTACGAAGTCCACCATTGCTTTCTTGGTGACGGCTTTAAAAGTGACCGTTTCGACCCATTTTGTTAAGTAATCAATGGCAACCAAGATGAATCTGTGCCCATTTGAGGCTTTCGGCTCGATCAGCCCAATGGCATCCATACCTCAAGCAACAAACGGCCAAGGTGCTGACATAGGATGTAACTCTGAAGGCGGTGCATGAATCAGGTCACCGTGTATCTGACACTGATGGCACTTCCGGACAAAACTGAAGCAATACTTTTCCATGGTCATCTAGTAATAACCTGCCCGCAGAATTTTCTTTGCGAGGACATATCCATTCATGTGGGGGCCGCATACTCATGAATGCACTTAGTTCATGATCTTTTCGGCTTCTTTGGCATCCACACACCTTAAAAGATTCAAATCTAGAGTTCTCTTATACAATATTTCTCCGCTTAAGAAGAAACTGCTGGCAAGCCTTCTAATGGTTCTCTTTTGGTCTCCACTGGACTGCTCGGGGTATTCCTTTTTTTTCAAGAACCTTTTAATATCATGGTACCATGGTTGAACATCTGGTTCTACTTCAACTGCATTGCAATAATCATGTCTTTCTCGAATTTGAATCTCCAACGGGTCAATATGGACGTTGCACGGATATGGCAACATTGCAGCTAAGGTAGCTAGCGCATTAGCTAACTCATTGTGTAATCAAGGAATATACCTGAATTCAACGGATTTGAATCATTTGCTGAGATCTTCCACATGTTGTCTATATGGGATAAGCTTGATATCTCCAGTTTCCCATTCACCTTGTGCTTGCCGAATGATCAAATCAGAGTCTCCCATGATTAGTAATTCTTCTACATCCATGTCAATTGCCATGTTCATGCCCATAATGCAAGCTTCATATTCTGCAGTGTTATTCGTATAGAAGAACCGAAGTCGGGCCGTAACCGGATAGTGCTGACCAGTGGGCCAAATCAAAATTGCCCCAATCCCGACACCTTTTGCATTTACAGCTCCATCAAAGAACATTTTCCAAGCATTGGTGTACTCTGGAATTATTTCAACTGAGTTTACTTCCTCGTCCGGAAAGTATGTACTTAGGGGTTGGTATTTATTATCAACCGGGTTCTCAGCTAAATGATCTGCCAAGGCTTGAGCTTTCATCGCCGTGTGGGTGACATACACAATGTCAAACTCAGTGAGCAGGATTCGCCATTTTGCTAACCTTCCCGTAGGCATTGGTTTCTGGAATATGTACTTCAGAGGATCCATTCTGGTTATGAGATATATGGTATAAGCCAACAAATAATGTCTAAGCTTTTGAGCGACCCAAGTTAAGGCACAACAAGTTCTTTCCAGCAAAGTGTACTTGGCTTCATAACCAGTAAATTTCTTGCTCAAATAGTATATGGCTTGCTCTTTCTTCCCGGTCACATCATGTTGCCCGAGGACGCAGCCAAAAGAATTCTCCAGGACCGTCAAGTATAAGAACAAAGGCCTTCCAGGCCTAGGCGGAACTAACACCGGCGGATTTGACAAATATTCTTTGATTTTGTCAAAAGCTTCCTGACACTCATCCATCCATTTAATCGCCGCATCTTTCTTTAGCAGCTTAAATATGAGCTCACATGCGGTCGTGAGCTGAGCGATGAATCTACTGATGTAATTTAACCTTCCCAGCAAAATCATGACCTCTTTCTTGGTTTTCGGAGGTGGTAGATCTCGAATAGATTTTATCTTTGTTGGATCCAACTCAATACCCCTCCGACTGACTATAAATCCCAAGAGTTTCCCTGATGGAACCCCAAATGCACATTTAGTAGGGTTTAATTTTAAGTCATACTTACGTAGACGCTCAAAGAACTTTCTCAAATCTCGCACATGGCCTTCTTGTGTTCTGGATTTAATGATTACATCATCAACGTACACCTCAATTTCTTGGTTCATCATGTCATGGAAGATGGCGGTCATAGCTCTCATGTAAGTTTCCCCGGCATTCTTCAGACTGAATGGCATGAACCTGTAACAGTAAGTCCCCCATGGTGTGGTGAAAGCTGTCATTTCTGCGTCTTCTTCATCCATCAGGACTTGGTGATACCCAGCATAACAATCCACAATATACTGTAACTCATGTTTGGCACAATTGTCGACAAGGATGTGGATGTTTGGTAATGGGAAGTTGTTCTTGGGGCTTGCTTTGTTCAAATACCTATAGTCAACACATACTCGGATCTTCCTATCCTTCTTTGCTACTAGGACTACATTGGCCAACCATGTGGTGTATCGGACCACTCGGATCATATCGGCTTTTAATTGTTTGGCAATCTCTTCTTTAATCTTGTCGCTAATGTCTGTTTTGAATTTTCTTTGATTTTGTTGGACAGGTGGACAAACAGGATATGTTGGCAATTTGTGTACTACAAGATCTTCACTTAGTCCTGGCATATTGTCGTAAGACCATACAAACACGTCTTTAAATTCAAACAAGAGTTGGATCAATGCGTCTCTAGTTTATTCCTCGCCGTGAATGCTTATCATGGTCTCCTTGACCTCTTCTGAATTGCTCAAATTAATTGGCTCAGTTTCATTTAGGTATGGCTTAGGCTTATTCTTGAATTGTTCCAATTCTCGATTTATTTCCTTAAAAGCCTCTTCTTCATAATATTCGGGTTCTTGATTCATTATTTCATAGTTAGACAGCGTTTTAGGATCTGGGCATGAAGTCCGCAGGCATGTCATGTTATTTAAGTCCGCATTATTAGAACTGAAAAGAGAAAGATAAGAAAAATAGCAAAATCAGAAAGAATAACAGGCAAAGATTCATAGACGATGAAATATTGATTTCATTTCATCGAATTTGAAGATAGGAGGGTTTACATCGGAATTTAAAAAAATACAACAAAAACTAAAAACATTCGAGTTACACCCTGAAATAACTCGGAATGCAGAAAAGATGGATAGACTAAACTACTGGGATTTTCGCCTGACTGGGAATGGAGTAGTGTGCCAGTTTTGCAATTTAGCATTGGGCCCTATGTATTGCACCTCAGCAGTGCTCGAGCCTTTGCCCGGTTGGACCATGTGGGCTTCGTACAGCATTTGCCTCATTGCCTCACATATGTCCTCAATTTCGTCGGCCGTGAAGGTCTCTTCTTCTTCTTTTATATACCTTGGCTTTACAAACGATCTGGCGAGGTGCGGGATTGGCTGAGGCAGGACCCACCCATTTTTCTGTCACGACCCAAAACTAACCCCTGTCGTGATGGCGCCTTGCGTGGAACTAGGCAAGCCGACTCATTTCCAAAACAAATCAATATTTTCATTTTAAAGATAATTCCAAGGTTATTTAACATAAAACCTCCATTTAAAGAGTTCAAATCAAAGAAAAACAGAAGTGCAGAAAAGAAAAGCCTGATATCGGGGTGTCACTAGTCATGAGCATCTACTACCATTTGTCTAACAATATCAAGGCTAACTCAGCCTGGAAAATAGCTAAATATAACTAGAGGAAAATAAAAGGGAGAAGAGCAAGGGCTGCGATCGCCAAATAGCTACCTTGCTATTTCCAAGAAAATCTGCAACCAGAACACTCAATAATCGCTACCGTGTCCAGCTACACCTGAATCTACACACAAGGTGCAGGGAGTAACGTGAGTACGCCAACTCAGTAAGTAATAATAATAATTAAAGACTGAGCAGTAGTGACGAGCAATAAAGCATATAACATTCATATCATGAAATCTCATTAAAGTACAACATGCTTTAAAATCAGTGTTTGAATCAAATCATCTCATTTAAACCCAGTTCCAGTAAAAATCATTTAAAGATATTTTTCCAACAGTTTTTCAA